AGAACTTCAGCTATAGGAATTGCCACAGCTCAGGTAAATGGAGCTGTGATCAGAGAACCCAACAGCTGCGTGGCAAATTTCATACTAAGTTTTAAAATTCTCCTTTTTTTTGGTACTTAACAAATTTTGAAGACACCTTTAGATTTCATTTATGTTGAACAATTTATTTTGTAACTATCTGTATTGGAAAATTAACTGTTTCATAGGGTTTCAGCAAACCTAAGCTAAAAATATCCCAGAGAATGCATACACACCCATCATCCAAGCAACCATGTACAGTGCTACCCAAACATGTGTTCCATGACAGCTTCTATGAGGAAGAGAGCATCAGCTGACAGGTGATCGGATATTTAAGCAAGGGCACCGGTCACCCCCAGATGTGACGCTCCAAAACAAGAGTGTGTGAATGTATATACACATCTTAAAAAATCTCCCTATAACATATTCTGGTGAACAATATTAGTCCATACTGTAAATTAAATGTACATTCACACCCCACCCCTGCCAATATTTGGAAAAAAAACCCAAAAAACAAAACAAAAAACAACGAAACCCAAACCATTATCACTTTTTATTGTTCTCCTTTTTTACATGGATTTATAACGTGAACACATGTGCCGAATCAGAAAAATACCACATTCATGTTCACTATTCATAAAATCACAGGATAACTGAGGCTGGACGTGACCTCAGGAGGTCTCTAATCCAACCTCCTGCTCAAAGCAGGGTCAGCTAGGGGTCAGGCCAGGTTGCTCAGCGCTGGTCTTGACAACCTCCGGGAAAAGAGGCTGCGCAACCACTTTGAGCAACCTGTTCCAGAACTTTACTGTCCTATCACAGAAAAGTATTAACTGGGCATTAAAAACAAACAAGGATATACGTTGAAAAAGAAACCATCTTGCTGTTCTCTGTGCTTATTCAATTAGAAATCAGCGTGATACCTTGCATAATTTTGATTAACAGAAAATGGGAAAATAATTTACGATAATCTGATCTCCTGTATTTTCATGAAGCAAGCCCTTCTTCAGCTTATCCCCTTTTCTGTAACCAGGATAAAAAGTGCAGACCACTGGAAGAGGAAATTACTTCCATAATAAACAACAGTGTTAAAATTAAAAACCCTTTCCTAATGGCTACACAGCATCTTCCTTGCTGCATTTTCAGCCCATTGCTTTGCATGTTATCTACTACAGACACAGCAAATATACCATTCCTTTACTCCTTGCAGCAATTTTATGTATTTGAAGACTGTTTACATATTTCTTTTCAGCTGACTCTACACTAAGTAATCTTCATTCATGCAATCCTTCCTCAAAGGTTATGAGTTCCTGAGCACCAGTCATTCTCAGTGCTCTCCTTTCAACATCCTTTAAGTTGAAGCCTTACCAATACCAAATAGCACAGAACTATTGAATTAGTGTTGCAGACAATATTCCACTATAAAACATCTTATTAAGAGTCTTTCATTTGCAACTGCCTGACTTTATTTACCTGTGTTCAGCTTCTGATCCAAATAATCCTCAGATTTTAATTTCTGAGTAGATACTATTTGATTTGGTTTTTCGCAGCTCAGATTTATTCTCCCCTACAGGTAGTACCTTGCACTTATTCCTTCTACGTTGGAACCTATTTTTTTCAGGCTACATCTCTGATTTGCCAAGAACATTCTGGACGTTAAAACCTTCTTCTAGTTATTATCAGTCCTTCCTGACTTCCTATCATCATAAAATTTAATACTCATACTTTCTATCCCATACTGTAAAAATTACAATTCTGACAGTATTAGAATGAGGATGGATCCACATGATATAGTCTGCCTTCCTGGCAGCAAACCAATTAAAACTGCTCTCAGCGTATACTTTTTCAGTCATGCTACAGAAGGGTAGACCAATGTTTTTGTTGTAGGTATAAGACTATCATATAAGACAATGTCATTATCTAAGTAACACAAAGAAAGCAGAATACCAAGGAGAATTAAAACAAATTTACACTGAGAGCATATTTTCTGTGAAGGGAAAATTTGCAGCATAACACCTGCACACGCAGTTCTGTAGCTTCCCTTACCACTACTGGCCTCTGTAAGAGAGAACTAAGTTCAATCTGAGACCAAAAAAACAGGAGGGAGGCGGACCAAGACTTCTGGATTCCTCAAGGAGAACCAAGTGTGGCAAAGAAACCTTTAAACAGCCTAAAAGAATCTACCTCAATAGCTTAAATTATGGATGCCTCCTGTATTTTTAATTTACATACAATCAATCACTTTCACCTCAGTTGCCTACATCTCCCTGATATCCCCAGAGCTTGCTCTGCCAAAGCAGAATGTAGTAGAATAAAAGCCAAAGTCAACTAGTTTGATTTGGTGAACTGAGAGGTATAAGGCTGAGTTGGTTTCAAGTATTCAATCCTATGGAATGATATGGTCACCAAAACAAAAATACAGGATTGTTCATTTTAATGTACCTCCGCAGAGAGTTTGAAATGGCAAATACCCCATGTTTACGCGGCTGTGTAAACATGGGGTGATATGCAAAGGTGATATGCTCTAGGTGATATGCAAAACAGTGTGCAAACACTCTCTTGTTCCTTGATATGCAAGATGGGGCAGTAGGAAAAATAAAATTTTAAGTTCCAGGCTTTTTAATCTTGTTTGTTACACACAAATTAGTACACAATTATTTTATTTTGTGACACTACGTTAAAATGCAGAGGTGTTGATACATTTTTAATACTGGAGATCAGTTAACTGGAAACAGCATTGTTGTTCTTCAATAATTATTTGAATTAAGTCTAAACTGAGTAACTGCTAAAGCCCAGGCTGAGTCCTACTTCCCATAATCTGAAAACACACTCT